GATAAGTAACTAAGAGCTATGTGGCATACTCAAATTTTTAGTATGTTAATACTAATATCATATGAGGATGAATGCAAAAAGGTTTAGGTAATTGGAGCTAACCCAACCCCGTCCCAACCCCGAATTGTCCCCTTCCATAAACTACATCTCCTAAGATAAATTTTTTTTTTCAAGTTCTATCATAAATTAGACCAAAATTTATCGACAGTTTTTAAGTTTCATTAAAAAAATATCTTTTCGTTTATGATTTATGACCATAAGAAGTTTAAAATGTTTAAAAAAGTGCAACTGTAAAAAAATACACCAACAACATTTGTGAAATACATTCAACAACATTTGTGAACATTTTTGCATTTTTTAATTTTGCACCATCAGATATCCATTGGTTATATAATCTGCACAAAGATTCTAAAGAATAATGATCAGCTATTTGAAAGTTAGGAGATGAGGTCATGCAAAACGGACAAGAGTGCTTTGATGTTGCTGTTTATTTTCCAACCATTTGATATCTGATGGTGCAAAATTAAAAAATGCAAAAATGTTCACAAATGTTGTTAAACCCCCTTTATTAACAGGGGACAAAAATCAAAAAATAATAGAACTTGTAAATATTTCCAGTCTATATATACTTTTAGGTGTTACAGACAAAATTTTAAAAAAGATTGAAAAAAATTTGTTTGAAAACAAGGAGTGTGGTTACAGTTTGTCAACCGATATTTGTCTACGATAAACATCTAAATAGTATCCTACCAAGGGCAGCATCGTTTAGAAGGCAATGCTTGCAAAAAGTTACTTAAAAACATATACAGTTTTAAGCTGATTTTTCAGGAGTCCAGTCTTGCAAATCCCGTATCCATATACATTAAGGTACTTAGAGATTTTGAAAAAGTAGTCCAAGGCTGTTTTGGAAAATCATTATGTCAAAGATAAAGAGCAGTTGTCTACGAGCTATAGAAATCTAGGGGCTACAATTCCTTTGAAAGTACACATAGTTGAGCAACATATAATCAAATTCATCGACATGAAAGGTGGTGCTATGGGTATGATAAATAAATTTTAAGTTTGAGAAGATTAAAATAATATTATTTAGTTATAATAAAAGTAATTAAATACTTTATAACAATAAAGGCATAAACTATGACGATTATTCATTAAATAGAATAAAACTTATTTTCTGCATTTTATGTTCTGTACGCTTAGGATACTGGACCGAACAAGCTCTAAAATCCATTCACCAAGATTTCCATAAGTTTAGGCGAATAAGAAAAATTAGAGAACACAGTCTAAAGCGCTATAAAAGCGCTAAAAAACGCAGTTGTTGCTAATAACTACAAACACTTTTAAAGTAACTTTCAATTTGCAGGTAGCTTTTAAAAAGTATAATATTAACCTCTTTTAAACAATTATTTAACATAATTTCTTTATATATGATATGATTATATTATGACATGCAAAATATAAATAATAATTTAACCACATAGGCTAGAAATTTTTTACGGCGATAAATTAGTTATAGTTAACCCTATTGGACCACTAGTATATGGTTCTTTAAAGAAATTTATCAAATTTTTTTTTGGTGTTATATTAAACTAGATAAAAATTCATTGACAGATTTTAAATTTCTAGTTAAAAAGTTACGATCATTTAAAGTTATTTCAGGGGGTAAATTTATGGAATTTTAAACTTCTTATGGTCAAAAATCTTAAACGAAAAGATATTTTTTTATGAAACTTGAAATGTGTCGATAAATTTTGGTCTAATTTATGATAGAACTTAAAAAAAAATTATTCTCTTAGGATATGTAGTTCTAGGAAGGAGGTAATTTGGGGTCGACGGGGTTAGGTTAGCTCCAATTACCTGAACCTTTTTGCAATTCATTCTCAGTATTAACATAATAAAAATTTGAGTATGCCATATAGTTCTTAGTTACCTATCTTGAACAACAAAATTACTTGGCACTTGCCTAAAATTCTTGATTTCTCCGTAGGGCCCCGGTGAAAAAAGTTTTTTTTTACATTTTTGAAATAAGGAAGAGTCTTCTGATAATCAACAAAAAAAGAATTTCTGGGGATGTGTTACAAGGTCTCAGAGCATGTTCCTATGCACCGTAATAGCCTTTAGAGGTTAAATATACTTTTTATTTAGCTATAACTTATTTATCATCAACAATGCACTTTTTTTTACTGTTTCTTGTATTATTATTGTGATAGTTTAAACTTCTGCAGTTTTCTTGAAGCTCTGAAATGGTTCCATATTATTTTCTTGAAGCTCTAGAATAATTATAATAAAACATTTAAAAAACAAAGTCACGAAAACAAAAAGAGAGCGGATATTGTCAATCTGATTTGTGATGTGTTAATAAAAGTAAATCTTGCTTTACAAAAACTTATTTCGAGGCGCAAGCTCTAATTTTACCGAAGAATTAATTAGACCTATACATTCCTTGCGCTACCCATAGCCTTAGTTTAGCTGAAGTACATGTAGTTTAGTCTTGCGCTGAGATCAAGATTTTCTATGGTAACAACCAAACTCTTTACGTATTAATAAGTTAGAGTCCGGCTAGGAAGAAGATTTTGCAAGAATCCACAGGAATCTCTTTTTTTAAGCTTTCAGGTAGCAACTGGTCACCTTGGACTGCCGCAATTATCCCAATTTCAAAACAACCACGAGAAATTATTTTTGCTCTCAACCTTACTATAGAGGATTTTGACCATACCGCTGACTCGTTAAATCAAGCCTCATTCAAAAAGTCCTTGATATAGTTTTTAAAATCCTTTGAAACTACTGTTCTTCTGATATTTTGGTAAAAAACCAAGTTGTTGACGAAGTAAGTTGTTTGTTTCAGTTAACTACTTTACTATCAATTATAAAAAAAGATAAAAATTTATTTTTATTCAATTGGTAGTTAGTAATCTTGGCCGCATCCTTTCATCGTGGATCGATATTTTGGCTGAAACAAAAGCTGTTTCAGGTTCCCTAGGCTTTGAAACTGAATATTTGACGAAATGAATAATGAGCAAAAATTCCAGTTCTGATGATATTACAACACCTGATGATATTACAAAATTTATAGGGTCTATATATAATAAGAAAAAGAATAGTGGTAATATGCCAACTTTTCAACTTCCGTTAAAATCTTATATTTTTCACTTTAGGCACAGTCTTACAGATTGCATAAATAAAAGTATCCATGATGGTAAATTCCCGTCATTTCTAAAAATGGCTGATGTTATACCATGTTTTAAGAAGAATGGCCCAACTGATAAGTCGAATTACCGTCCAATTAGTATTTTACCAGCTCTTTCTAAAGTTTTTGATATTATTTTATATGAACAAATCTTGATATTTATTGAGCCTAGATTTGATAAACTTTTGTGTGGTTTTCGAAGAGGTTATAGTACTCAGCATGCCCTTTTTTCGTTACTTTTAATTATTTTTTATCTATTTTATTTATATTTTAACTTTTCTAAAAAAAGTTACAATTTATATATAGCATAAATAATAAAAAAAATGGCTGGATCAAGAAGAAGACATCAGCTTGTCTTATCGCTGAGCCCCATTGTGACTTCATTACAGGTCGTTTTTTATAATAAAATATATAAAATCGTGATAAATGCTTGTGATAAAATATATATAAAATGTGTAAAACTACGTTTCACAATAGATATAACTGTTTATAAATAAATTTTTTTTGTAAAATAAATTTAGAACAAGTAAAAGTTAAAGCAAATAAAAGAAATAAATTGTGCTACACTGTAAAACTTTACCGTGAATATCACGGTATTATACCGTTACCCATAAACGCCAGTACTATACCGTGATTTCACGGTACAGAAACGTAAAATATTTACGGTAGAATACCGTGAATTTATATTTGAATTCCCGTTTTTCTACCGTGAAACTTTTCCGTTTTTGTACCGTAAAATCACGGTACAGTACTGGCGTTTATGGGTAACGGTATAACAACGGCCTTTTACTCCTTTTAGTCGGCGCACAGAAATTTTTAAAAAACCCTGTTTATTATATAAAGCAGCAATAACATCGTATTAAACGAGTAAGATCAAAACAATAATGACAAATTTATCTGACAGTGTGTCTATATTAGTCAAAATATATTCATGTGTATACACAATCTATCAAACATAAAATAAAAAATCAAATAAAAACACGATATATGCATTTACACACTCTAATATATTATATTGTAATATATAATGTATGAACTACATTACCAAAACAGCCATTATATATATATGTATATATATATATGTATATATATATATATATATATATATATATATATATATATATATATATATATATATATATATATATATATATATATATATATATATATATATATATATATATATATATATATATATATATATATATATATATTTAAATGAAGCTAGCTAATTTCTGCATCATTTTTAACACAGTTCTATTGACAGTCATCGCCTTCTTTGTGCATCGCGACTTCGATCCCTTTTCAGGATTGATTCCAAAAAAAACACTAAAAGCAATGAAACAGAAATGATTTCAATTTCAAGTTAATATTTTTTATATTTATTCATAACTAATTTTTAATTGAAATTAAACTTTCTTAGTAAGTTTTATCTCAATTTTAGACACAATAACGAAACAACAAAAATTTTTCTTAAATAAAACATATATTAAAGTTATAAATATTAATTAAAATAAACAATATAATTATAAACAAATAAGAAAAATATATAATTATATAAAAAGATAATAATTTATTGAAACTAAAAAACCATTAGAAATTGCTTTTACTTAGTTGCATACAAAATCAAATATAGTATTACATAAACACACAGTTTAAATTGTGTGTGTGAAACTACATAAATATCATGTAATATCACAACTACTAGATTAATTTTATGCAACTAATTTATGAGACACATCCATACCTCATAGAATGTACTACCTGTATTATCAATATAGCTACGAAAAAATTGAAACACTGTTTATACATACATCCATCAACAAAAAAAGACAATGCAACTTTTCATCAAAAAGAAAGACCAATGCAGTCATCAAGCTAGGAGCCACAGGTAGATCAGAAGCAGTTGCAACATTTAGCTCATCCATTGATTGCATAGCTTTTTTATGTGTTCATTTTTAGATTTACAGTTGAAAAAAAATGCTGCTAATTTTTGGTCAGCTAATGAAGTTGTTAATTTTTCAGTGGCTTTTAAGCCACCCATTAACACATCAAAGTGATTCAGTAATCCGCTCACCTACACATTATTATTGCATAACTATTCAATTATACATGTACTAAAAACTACATAATTATTAAAAACTACATAATTATTTAATTATCTATACTCAATTATATACAGGTATTAAAAACTAAACTTACTAAAATCTACATAATTATTCAATTATACATGTATACTTATTCAATTATATAAGAAGTTATACATTTGAAAAACCTGTCCAAATGAAATGAAATTATTAGATGTAACAAAACAATTAAGTAACTATTTTGATGTTAGAATATGGAATTAAGATAAATTAAATAAAATCAAGTATTACCGTAAACAGCTCTGGAAACTGTTGCATCAATTCTGGGAGCAGAACTAAGTTCCCATTTATAGCACTTCGCTGCAACCTGTACAGTTTTTCAGCTGGAGTAGACTGTGAGCTAAGCAATCCTGTACATTCCTAATTGAGACATCCATAACTATCTCTCTTTCTATTCATAAAAGGATGTTTTGTTTCATCGTCTTGAGCAGATACTTTTTCTACTTCAAAATCCACTTCTGGCAAAGCACGACGTGGGCGCTGAAGATAATCATACCGATTGACTAATTGTAATGTCAGACTATCATGACCACTACCTATCAAATTACCATTGTATTCATCCTTCAATGCTTTTGGATATTTTAAAACAATTATGGATGCAATAATATCCAAGTGTTTTTTCAACGGCTTTAGACAAACTGATCTAACTTCGTCCAATACTATCCACACCATTGCCGTTATTTCTGTTGCACAAAGACGTTCACCGGATTCTAGTTTTTCAATCGTTTTCTTATCTATTTTTCCCCATGGTACATAAACAACATGCACCAATCAGAAGGTCCAAAATAATTTGATGCCACTAAATTCAAATTCAATTTAATCAAAATAAAATACAACTTAACATGTAATTGGGAACAAACCATTCAAATAAGATTAAATAAAATAGTTATTATAAAATTTACATATAACAAAAAAAAGTGATTATAAATATGTAAGTTACTTACCAGAAGATCCTTCTGCTGCTAAAATTTCAGTAGAAAAGCAGGGTATACATGGTGACGACAAAGTCATCAATGCTGGTGTCAACATGTTGGAATCAGCTGTAATGAAATGGTCACAATAATCACTAATAATGTTATTTATAATCAACTAAGAAACAAAAAATTTAGCTTAGCATAAATTTTACATTAATGAAATAATGTACTTAAATAAAAAAATTATTTTTAAAATTGAACAAAATAATTTATTTTTCATACATTATAAAATATATACTTCCATTAAAAAAAAAACAACTTATGAATTACAATGACAATGATGAAACAAATTAATCAATGCTATAACACAAGCATGCATACCAAGTAATATATACATCCTATGATAGTAACATTTTTACTTTGGATGGTTGGGTAGCAGTATGATATTACATAATATATAACATAATATATTGTTATATACTAAGTAATATCATACTGCTATACAACCATCCAAAGTAATATATTATATAATATATTATGTTATATACTATGTTATATCATACTGCTACACAACCATCCAAAGTAAAAAAAGTTTATATTACAAACAAAACTTTATATTTATATTTTTTCTAACACAAACTAAAACTAAAAAGTTTTGATCACCTACCCACATTATTTGATAACCATGATTGAAGTAGTTTTCGTTTTTGTATTGGTTTTAGGCCAAACAAGTCTTCAAATGTAACTAAATGAAGATCTGCTTGAGTCTCCACTCCAACATCCAGCTCCAAACTATTTTCAAGTTGCTCTAATAAAGTTGCACCTATAGATGGTAGGATTCTAATGATGCTGGTTTTAATAAATTCCATCACCTACACAAACAAAAAACACTGTTAACTCTGTAATGATTTAATATTATATAAGAGAATAGCGCAAATGTATCAGGGGTTAATTAGGTTAATTAATAAATTATCAGGGTTAATTTATAAATCAGGGTAATCAGTTAGTTTAAAAAACAGATTTTTTAACATTATTGTTATCATGACTATTTAAAAATTTAAAACTAGAAACATTTAAAAAAATTAATAGTTGAAATTTTAAACAAAATATTTTATAAAAATAAATGATTTGAACTAATATTTATTAAATTATTATTTATCTGTTCTCAAATCTTGACACTGAACATGACACTGCATGTTTAAGTGAAACCATCTTTCGATGCTGGTATATGTAAGCTGGTAAAGGCAGATAGTCAATTAAGCATGGCAGTGCAAGACATATAATTTTATCTGTAGAACCAAATATTTCATATAAACCAAGTTCATGGACAAACTCAGTCTTTTGAATTGCAACAATAACCCGAGGAATGCTACAGCTTGGATCTATAAAAATAACTAATATTTTTCCAAAAATTGGAAACTCATAATCTTTTGAAAACTCACACAATAAAAAGAGATTTTTCTTGTAATGTGTGCCACGAAAAATAACATGCGTTGAAACATCATACGGAAACTGACCACATGTATTTAATATTAAACTGTTTATTAAAGAATTGAAATTTGTTCCATTAAACAAGAAGGAATCAATAGAAAAATATTCCTGGGTTGTAATGCTTGAATTGTTGTATGCTTGCAGCAATTGCTGGGTGCTAGTCAATGTTTTGCATAAGTGTTTATAATTATGATAATTTCGAGCACATTGTTTAAAATAAGAATGCTTGCTCTCAAATCGCAGTGTAAATACACGTATGAGAGGGCCATATCGTAGTATAAGCTGTGGGTAATGACACAAATAGTGATGTTTAGGTAAAAGTTTATTATAAGGAAACAGTTTCTTTCGTCCAGACAAATACTCGTGTATTAATGTCTGTAGGTATGCAATATGTGCAAGATCAATCTTTGGAGAACAAACCAACTCCATAATTTGTTTTAATTTAAGATACAGTAACCACACAGAGTCCTCATAATTAGTTACATATGATCCAATAATTATGGAAAACAAACACAAAAACACCCAGTTTTGTACTGCATGGCCACTTAGCTTCTTTGTGCACGATATTTTGTTAACTTCACATGGTTTGTCTTGTGCATCATTTTCTAAATACTTAAGTAGATTTATTCTTCTATTTAGGTTGTTATAAGAAAACCATCGCTTAGTAACAAAATACTTAATAAAAAGATACATATCTTGTGATACTAATCCTTCAAAACAGTCATGAGCTAGACATGGTGGCAAACCAGTGGAGACATGAAAATCACTAATATCATTAAAAGGTGACTGAAATTTGACGCCTTCAAAGTTGTTTAAACCACAGTTTGCTAGTTCAAGCAAGCTTCTATTATGTATTTCTTTTGTTCTTTCAGGGCCACAAAAGTGAGGATTTGTATCAAATTCGATGCGTGTCACTAAGCAGTATCGACAAAAGTTTTGAGCTGTGCTGAAATTTTCACAAAAACCTCCAATAGCATGTGATCCAAGATTATCACCCAGTATACATAGAAGCTTTATTGTTAATGTCAAGGTGTCAGAAATAGCAACACCAGACATTGAAATTTCCTGTAAATCAGACAATAAAGGAGCAAACACCTTCTTTAAGCCAAAAAACTTAAAATCAACATCTCGACACATAAGCACTAATTGTAGTTGATTGGATGTGTATTGTTTTTGGGACGGAATATTTGCTAATGTCAGATAAACAGCTAGTGTTTTATGTTTTTTCTTTCCTGAACCAATAGGATTTGTAACTTCAAAGGAATCTTGGAACAACATGAGGTATATTATCTTTTCACTAGATATTGCAATTGATTGCATTAGTGATCCACTAGAAATGTCTGTAAATACACCTGAAGTACTACTGTGTTTCAGCCAGAATCCAGTATTGTTGATGTGTCTTGAGTACAGCATACATATCAAATCTTCTATTGAAATATATTGGGCTGTTCTAAATTTTTTATTATTATCATAGCCTAATGCAAATTCAACAGGCTTTATGTAAGCCATATTTTTATAGTAAAAGGTTTTCCTGCTTTTTACTTGTCCAGTGAGATTTGATTATTAAGAACTGTATTGCATTTTATAAATGGACACACAATTTTATCATGTGAGTCACTATGAGTTTTTAGGTGAATAAGAAAGTGAATTAATCCTTTACATACTTGTTTGCATAACGTAATGCCACATGTAAACAATATTTCACTGTCTTGAAATTTTGACCAAGCAAATGTACTAACTGTTTGATTATTATGAGCAGTTTTTACATGTATTTTTAAAGAAGAGTAGCTTTTAAAATTTCTGTTGCAATTGTTGACACAAGGAAAATATATGTTTGCATCATGACGGTGGCATGAATGAGTAACATAAGCTAATAAAGATTTTGCTTGTAGACCACATATATGACACTTTAACTTTAAATTTTTATAATAACTTTCACGTGGAGTTAATTGTGCATAATTGACTTTAGAATAAACAGATAAACTATTTTTTGTACTAAATCCATTAATACTATCAATGTCAATAACTTCAATGTTTAAAGATGTTAATTCAAATCGAATTTCATTAGAATCTGTTAAATATCTACTGTACTCTTTTAAAAAAATGTACAAATCTGAAACAAACACAAATTTTATGACCACAGCAATTCCTTCACTGGTCAAAAAACCATGACAGTCTCTACTATGTGAATCAAAAAAAAGAAGAAAATTATCAAATTTGAATATTGCAACAAAACTATCTTTTATACATAAAAGACATGTTGGAGACAGCCTAAATGCATCATCAAAAGCAGTTCAATTGATTTGGTACTGAATAAATTGACATCATTTTCTAATTGCAATAAATTACCAATTCCTATGTCAGTAATCTTGAGCATATTTTTTTTCCCAGAACAAATTACATGAGTTGGCAAATCACTTGGCAATAAATAATCTGTATTTATACCATTATCTCGTGCATTTAGGTAAAGACTGTCTCCTTGCTTCAAAATATTATTTAGATCAATACTTTGTATACCATAATTCGTTTTTATTTTATTTATTGTATAACACAGAAATATAACTGAATTTGTTTAACATTGTTTTCCTCGTGAAAAATCTGAAAAACTAACATCACCTTGATATAGAGCTGCAGAAATACAAGTATTTTTTGATAATTCTGTCCATATTGTTCCAGTAAAAACAGAAGGTAATGACATTTTATGATTAATACAACTTTACAGAAATTTAATACAATTAAATATTACCAATATTATGTATTCAATATTACCTTGTGCACCAACACAAGTTAAAATAGTTAATTGCACAAAAGCTCTTATATCAAAACTGGAATGCTTTTACTTATACTAATAACTTATTAAATAAGTTTATTATTAAATAAGTTAATAACTTAGTTATAAAACACAAAATATTAAATATTAGCGAATTAAAAATTAGGTCTATAAATAACTAGAGTAATAATATTGAAATGCAATTATAATTTAATTACAGAGCTATTTTATCATGTGATTCACATGCTGACATATTAAAATATGTAAAAAGTATGTATAGAAAATTAAAGATAACAAATTTCAATTTTAATAAAATAATAAACATGCTTATACTATACGATAAGTGTCCACATTTATCTTATAGTAGAACTTTACGGTGATACCGTGATGGTGCAATAACGGTATAATGTCGTAAACTTTACAGTATAATGCCGTGAAGACACTATTGGGGTAATATACCGTTAAATGTCGGTAAAGTAGCGTGAATTTCACGGTAAAGTTTTATAGCGTAGTTTATATTTTTTACTAAAAAAAAAAGAAAATTTAAGTCCGTAGATAATAAAAATTGCTTTGATTCAGATTTAAGCTGTTCAAGTGTATTTCTTTTGATAGTAAGAATCTGGGAAAAATTTCCACAAATAAAGTCCGCGGTGTTGGATTGAGTATGAATTTAACTTTAATGTCAATTTTGGGATGACAAAGTTGTTATATGAGAATCTAGTAGGGTATTTATGAATCATTTTGCTAAAATAGGGTTGAAATATCGGCGGAGTCCATATTTTATTTTGTACATAAACTGTAAAACAAGATGTAAGTTAATTTTGAATACATTCAACGCTCCAAGTTTGCATAAGAGAAGTTCACAAGACATTTTTTTACTTTCTCCAAAGACATTTCTACAGGCATGTTTTTGTTTACTGTAAAGTTTTTTAAGCTTAGTATAATTTGTGCTTGCCTAGGCTATGTTACCATAGTTTAGGTGACTATGTATTAATGAAAAGTATAAACTTTTTATGGAAACGATATTTGGGCAAGGTTTTGCTATATACATTAATGAAATATTTCTTGAGAGCTTTCTCTCTAAAGTGTTTATAAGCAGCATCCACGATAATTTTCATCCAAGACCATACCTAGAAAGTATATGAAAGTTTCTCTTTTTATATTAGTATTATTTATTTTTAAATCAGATAGTTTAAGAGGAATATTTTCATTTTTATTTGGTTTATAAAATAAGATGAATTTGGTCTTTTGACATTCAAAGAGAGAATGTTACACGTGAACCACTCGTTTATATTATGTAATTCTTTTATAGCGTGGTCGGTTGAGTGGTTTTTTTTTAAAATCCGAACTGTTTACCGTATAAAAAATTGTTTTCCGTCAAATAATTGTCTATTATACATGACACGTTCTAGTAATTTGGAAAAACATGGTAAAACTGATATAGGTCTATAATTATTAGTAACAAAATCATCTCCAGATTTGAAAATAGGGGTGACTCGGGCAATTTTTTAGTTTATCTGGGACAATGCTTGATTTCAGTGAAAGATCAAAGAGGTGATGCAAAAATCGTTCAATGATATCAAATACTGATTTTACGACAAAGCTGGTATTATCAAAGCCCGCACTTTTGTTGTTTTTTTAGAGTGTTTATAGCGAAACGCAATTCATTAGAATCTAGATGTGTTCATAATCAAGTAAGAATGAAATGTTGCAAAACTTGACGGAATTTCTGCTGCTAATTTGTGACCCACATTAAAAAAAAAGCTTTTTAAATAATCAGCTATTATTATCTTATCAATGACACCGGGGTGGGGGCCAGGGGGCCCCCGGTGTCATTGATAAAATAATAATAGCCTTTTTTTTAAAAGAAAAGTATTGATGATTGTGCTCCCCCCCCCACCTTTAAACCCCGTGTCGTCGGCCCTGTTACCACCAATCCAAGGTTTTTTTGGCAGATTGCTTTTTGTACAGCTATTATTACCAACTATCTCTTTAATCGTATTCCATGTTTTCTTTTTTCCATGGTTTTTGCATTTCCATGGTTTTTTTTTCAACAAATTTGAATAATAAAACTTTTTTGATTATTGTTTTGTTTTTTCAAACAAGTTTTTATAATTTTTGTAAGTTATTTCATTTTTATAGTTTATTTTAAGTTTTATTTGTTAGGATCTTGTCGTAGAGTTTTTGTTTTTTTCTTGAAGATTTGATTAAACCTTTTGACATGCATGGAGTTAAAAGTGACTTTTTGTTTATAACAGTTTTAACTGGAAACGCTTTTTCATAATATTTACAAAATTGACCTAGAAAAATTGTTAGTTATTATATTATCGACTAAGTTAAAAGAATTTTTAGTTATTCAGGTTGGCCTTGTAATTGTTGGAATGAAACTATGCTTAGGTAGAGTATCAACCAAATGTTTAACATTATTATTAGAAGTATACTTCAACAAATTAATGTTTGTATCACCAACTATGTAAACATGCTTTTGTGCGTTATTAATTTTGTTTAAGAATGAGGTAAGATGAGTTTTGAATGTTTTAAAATTTCCACCTGGCTGTCTATAAATAATATTTATGATTATGTTTGTAGAGTTTTTGTTAACTAATTCTATGCATAATGACTAACAATCTGTTTCATTCACACTAAGATCCCTACGCAAAATAAAGTCGATTGAATTGTGGATATAAACACTTACGCCTCCTCCAGCATGAATTTTACGCGGTTGATGAACAGATGTATAATTTTGTAATTCAAATTTGACATGCAATCTCTGAAAAATAAATAATGCCGAAATAAAGATTTTGTTTAGACTTCCGATATTAATATTTAAAATTGAAACTGAGACTTTGTTTTGGTGAAGATATTTTGCGGTTTGGTAAATCGAGTAGTAATTACTTTCATGCGTTATTTTATCAAAGTTTTTTGTATATGTAGCTTTATCGTTAAGACTTTAATTTTCAGGAAAATATTTTGTTCGCAAATTTCCCTTTATTTAAAAATTAATAATAATAATAATAAAAAAATAAATATAAAGAAAAGAAATAAAGATACTTATTTAGTGTTCCGATTTAACTCCTTCACATTCAGTTTATCACATGCAAAAACTGCATATTTTCCGGAATTTCTTGCAATCTTCATTTTCTCAATTAAATCAAGTCGAATTTTATTTGTTTCTTCCGAAAAGTCCTTGTTTATAAAGATTCCTTTTTCATTTAGTTTCTTGGCATTTTTCAAGATTAGTTCTTTATCTTTATAATTTAAGAGTTTTTGTATAACAGTTCTTGGGGTATCCATATTATTATAAACTTTTCCAGTTCTGTGTGCTCTTTCTATTACTATATTTTTAAGCTGAACCTGTTCATTACAAATTGTTTGAAGATTTTGTTCAGTATTTTCCCAAGTTTCTCGTCTTTTTCTCGTAATCCGTAAATTCTTATGTTATTTCTTCTAATTCTGTCTTTAAACTTTCTAATCTTTTTTTAACTCGTAACAAGTTTTTTGCTTTGTCCAAATTTTCTTGTGCGTAAATGGTTTTATTTGAAATGTTTGCAATTTCGCTATTTAAACAATTACTTTGTTTAAATCTTTATTAAGAGATGAAATTTTTTCATCAATCAAAGTATCTTGAGTGAACTCAATACTTTTCCCTAGGTCTTCAACAGTTTGTTGTAAAGTTTTTTGTTTTTCTTCTACTAATGACTAACGTTTAGTAATTGACTCGATCGATATCAGGATTTTATCCATTTTTTTATTTTGAATTTTTGG